ATCAGAACCTTACATGTTAAATGAGTCACCATTTAGCACAGAAAACAATCAGCAAATGATAAGAAATAATATTAGATTGTGGAATATTCAGCTCCACAGCCATCAAAATACAAAAAAACAAAATTACTTTTTTATATTACTGCATGCAAAAGGTGCTGTGAAGAATTGTCTGAGCCTCAGGTCCATTTTCCTGCGGTTCATTTAAAGCGTTTCATGCTTCAAGTACAGATTCATGACGGATGGTTTGGAGATTATATTAATCCCCTCTTTTATTTTCAGTCAATGTAAAATAAAAAGCATGGAAAGAAGAAACTCTCCCCAAAAAACACTGAATGAAAAGTATCTCCATCAGAAAAATACACTAAAGACCCAAATCTGTTCACGTTTCTTTGGCAAATCTTTCCTGATTAAGTTGAAATGTTAATTTTTTCTGGTTTGTACCACGAGCTGGTTCTTCCCTGAATGTCTGCGAACAGTTAACGTTGAGTTTTAAAGACATGCGTGAGCCGAGCTGTGTAATTCAATTAGACACAATTATCACAGGACAAGACAATAAATCATAAAGTTCTTACAAATAAAAAGTTATATATCTTTGTATCCAGGCTGTCTTCCCAGCCACCAATAAGAAAACATTGTAAGCCAGAGTTTTCATATTTAGTCAAAGTAATCCAGGTCAAAAATATAAATAAGTTTGTTTCTTTCTTTTGTGCGTTTCATTTCTTGCCGTCTGTTTTTTTTTTTTTTTGTATTGAACGTTTTTTTTAACTTGCCGTTGTGTTTGAGTGCTACTGAAAAATGAAGAACAAACTTGCAATTAATTGATATTCTTAAAAAGATGTAACAAAACAACAAAGTGTCTGGTGTTGAACCCAAGCGACCGCGGAGACTCTGAAGTAAAATAAGAATTAATTTATTAATGATGACAAAACGAAGCTGACGGGGCAGAAAACTTCCTTTGAGGAGACACAGAGGGAGAACATACTCCAGATAATCTAGGGACAAATGAGAAGACACAAGACGCAGAATATGAAGGAACACTACGGAAGGACAATGAAGAACACCTGGGGGGGCTGGGATACAGGACAGGTGTGCCAGGAGCTGGTCACATGATGGAGACAGGACAATACACAGAGCACACGGAGCCTGTCACAAGCACTGCAGCTGAGCCGTGCATCACAGCAAGCTCCCAGAAGTTCATCAGTCCCACAGAAACTCAAAGCAAACCTGTTCGTCTTAGGACAAGTGCAGAGTCGCTCTCTTTCCTGGAGACTCCTCGACCAACAAAGTTTAACTAAAGCAGGAAAATCTGGAAGTTTGCTTGATTTTACAAACAGACGAGGGTTTCACTGAAGAGTCCGGAGCGACGTGAGACGTATCGTAGTTGTAGTGATGGAAGGAAGAGGCCGTGAAATGGACAAGTGAATGTTTTACTTACAGAAATAACCAGTTTTCACATTCTGGCAGAAACATTTCAGTGAATTACAGACGATTCCAGTGGGAATTACTGCCATTTAGAACCCGTTAAAAATATATTCATGAAGAAATACCAAGACAAAACTCATCTCAGAGACATAAATAATTTAAAACAATAATGAATACATTTTTCATGCACACTAATGAGCAGCTGTTTCTCAGAGCAGTCCATCTTTAATACTAAATGTAAAACTAAAGGACAAACTTAACTTGAACGTCGGCGTCCTAGAATCCTGGCAGAGCAGTATTTGCCACAAACCTCGCTGTGGTGGAGTGGAATAATTTTTAAAAAGCAAAAAGACAAAGAGTAAATGGTAAATGGACTGTCCCTATACAGCTCCTTTCTATCTTATGAAGATACTCAGAGCTCTTTACTACAATCTGTGCCTCATGTACCCATTCATACAGCTCTATACTAGATCTCTACAAAGATAATGGAACAAATCATTCTAAAGAGACTAATCAGAGCTTCATCACATTCAGACACTGATGGGACACACATCAGAGGCTGTGAGGGGTTCAGTGTCTTGCCCAGGGACACTTCAGCATGTGTCTGTTGGTGGATTCGAACCCCCGACTCTTGTATTGGAGGACGACTGCTCTAACCACTCAGCCACAGTGCGCTGTCACGTGCAGCAGCTTCAGGCTGAAGAGCCGGGGACAGTTGCTCTTTTCACCAGCGTTGGATCAGAACACGTTGTTCATCTCTACGGCGGAGCAGTGATGTCATCGTCATCGCGCTCTGCCAGAGAAACGTTCCCCTCGCTTCGATCGCACCGACTCCAATCTGTCTTCTTGCTGTGAAACTTGGACAGCGCGCCCGTGATTCTTCGTGTTGCTTTCATAAAGAAAATGTTTCTCCAGCTCTGTCGCCTCTTTGTTGAGGATCCTCAGAGTGGGCCACAGTTTGAGAGCGTGAGGTAAAGTTCTCCAGACGACTGAAGAGTTACGAGTGGAAGTGTAAATGTGTGCGACTGTGTCACCGGCTGTGCCGCCGCAGTCTGGACTGGCGCTCGGCTTGGCCACAGGAACCGAGCTGTGATGAGACCCGACTTCGTGCAGTGATGCGTCAGCAGGTGCTGAAACAGACACAAATACATCCCTCAGCTAAAGGATAAGCGTATGCACAAAGACAGAAAAGACACAAGAAGCTGTGTTTTAGTGACACCAGAAACTGATCCTCTTTTTCCAAACTGCAGTGGGTTTGATCGACGGTGTGGAGACACCATCATGTATCTACCATGACCTTCTACCATTTATCCAAGGCCGGGTCATGGAGACAACAGGTCCAGCAGAGAAACCCACACGTCCCTCTCTCCAGCTCCTCGTGGGTGAGCCCACAGTGTCTCCAGACCAGAGAGGAGTTCAGTATCTGCCCTGGGAACTCTTCTGGGACACGTCCAGAAAACCTCCAAAGGGAAGAATCCTAATCAGAGAGCCAAACCAGCACAACTGACTCCCTTCGATGTGAAGGAGCAGCAGCTCCGCAGGATGACAGCAGTCATCATCTTTAAGGCTGAGCCCAGCCTCTTGACGAAGGAAGCTCTTTTGATCCAGTTGTACCCGGGATCTCTTTAGAATGTAGACGGACTAGTAAATTCAAAACTTGGCTTTTAGACTTAACTCTTTCTTCACCTCAACCAACCGAAGCAACGCCCTCATTACTGAGGATGTAACTCCGATCTGCTGATCCATCTCTCGCTCCATCCCCCCATCACTCAGGAGCAAGACAACTAGATACTGAACGTTGCACCTGTCGGACAAATTCACCTGATGGGCCGAGGTCAATTCACAACATTTTGTATTTGTGTGTTCGTCAAAACTCAAAAACTGGGAGTGTTTAGAGAGTAAAAACCATTTGCTCTGTTTTCACAGAAATAAATGGTAAGTAGCAGCCAAACGTTGCAAATCAAACGTACTATTTAATATTGAGCATGCGTCAGGATACTATTTAATATTCATTATAAATAAAGGCTAAATAAATAAATAGGCAGTGGTGATGCGTTAGACTCTGGTTTCCTCCCACAGGTCCATGTTTCGGATTGTTCGATTATTAAAAACATAACACGTACAAACTGAGTCCCAAAAACTTTTGTTTTACTTAATATTTTTATTTTCAAAGTCTTAAAATGTTTTTTTTAAGTGATCATCAACATCTGGCATTGATGCAAGTTTACCGTAATGTCACCAAGTCTGAGTCTCAGTGAGACTAAAGCTTTCCTAAATGTCCTTTACAACAGCACCGACTCCAGGACCGCTTCTGATCTGAGATCTGCCGTCAGCTCATGTGATCTTCATTCAACCTTGATTTAAACAGGTCAGTCCCATTGAGTCTCGAGGACTCACTTACAAGACACCTGACCATCAAACTGCATCTTTTTACTTTCTAGTGACAACCATTTCTATTTCCATGCAAGCCTGTTGTGCACAACAGGCTGTAGGAGCGTGCAAGTGAAACAGCAGTCCAGAAACTTGAGACATATGTGCACTTGTGTTCACATAGTATGTCAGAAACCTGAGTCAAAGACAGTTTGGTTATTTTGGTCTGCAGACTCTCAGAAGACACATTCAATTCACTTCAGTTCAGTTCAGTTTAATTATAAAGCTCCAAATCACAACAAAGTTGTCTCGGGGACTTTACAGGAACATTCACACAATTAGTAAAGTTCTCTATCTAAGAATCCAGCAGACAAGTTGAATCTTGGCTTCGTTGCAGTCTCCCATCCTGAGCAAGCACAGTGGAGACAGTGGAAAGAAAAACTCCCTTTAACAGGAAGAAACCTCCAGCAGAACCAGGATCAGGACAAGAGACCATCTGCTTTGACCGTTTGAGATTTGAGATTTGAGATAATTCAGCATTATCTTGCTCTATTTCAGTTCAATATGTTTCAGCAATGCAGATTTATTTTTAATTCTAATAAACTCAACACCATGTATTAACAAATCATTGTTCATTTATTTGCTAACACACCCAGACCAGGTACTCGGTGTGCTCGTGTTGTCCGTGCCCTGTCTAGTTAAAACAAAGAAACTATTCTCAGTATTCACTTGATGGTCATATTGTTCTGGCTGATTAATGTAAACCCATATAATAATAAAACTTCACAAAGATTTACAGAAAATGGCTTCATGCACACGTGTACAGGCATGTAGACAGAGTCCTTTGAGACCCACACGTGTACATGCTGCACCAGACCTCCCCTACAAGAAGGGGCTGCTGTGTGTTTGGATGACATGTCCCCAAATATATTCAGTGACCTCATGCGCTCTTTCATGGCCTGCTTTGTATAGCAGGCCAGCTCAGAGAAACCTGCTTGTGATTCATCTTCTTGTGTGTGAGGACGGAAACTGAGGACTTGGTAAAAACACTGGACACCTGTTCCCTGGACCCTGCTCAGAGAAATTCCTCTCGTCAGTGTGTGTACGTGTGCCTGTTAGTAACAGGAATGTTGAAACTGAGCTGCCCCGTCTCACATGGACGCCGTGCGGCATCACTTCCTCCACAGCGGCTCTCTATTTAAAGGCCGCTGTGGAGGAAGTGAGTCTTCAGGATTAAAAGCAAAGCCCGTGCACTCTTCACACCAGCAGCTCAGCCTCTGACCCGCCGGGTCTGGAAGAGTCCGGATGTTCCTGTAATGATCTGCTGAGATTTATAAAGCCGAGGTGCCTGGACGATTGCTGGGAACGTTTCAGTTGGCACAGGGAAAATTTGTGAGATTTGCACCTAAAACGTTTTTGACTTTTTTTTTTCAAAACCTTTTACTTAAACTGGCATTTTTTTTTTTATCAAAGAAGGAAGAACAGCACTTTGGATTTAACTTTGACTCATTCTTTGGCTTTCTTTACAAACGATACCATCAACAGAAGAAACAGCCACATCATCTGCATACAGAAGTTTTCCAAGGTTACTACAAATTGTATTAATATTTGAAAGGGCTTACCACACAGGAAACAAATAAATAAGTTTGAAAGTGACTCCAGTGGTCAGCTGTTGCCATGAGTAGTGGTGGGGTATCCACAGTTTCACCACAGGAGCCGCAGGCTTTTAAACGAGCGGCTCGTAAAGTCAAATGTGCTGCCATGGTGGCGAATCTGGCCAAGAGCTGGCAAGGATGGGCCAAGGAACACGCAAACAAGCAAGATGCTATCCCAAGTGGCTGGATGCCTTCATCTGTTGAGGAGGAAGACAGAAAAGAACGAAACCATGTCGTCAAACTGAGCGTTACTCCACGAGTGATTGCAGCAGATACCAGCGACTTCAACGAAAATAAAATCCGGACCTGCTCTGTCACCAAGTCTGTTCAGCTGAAACGCAGTGAGTGCAGCAGTGGCAATGTGATGAACGCCATCCGAGACAAGATGGAGTCGGGTCCCGAGGAGAGCAAGCCATTTTTAGGCAACGAGTCGCCAACACGACGCCGTCACATGAGGGCGCTACAGAGCGCAGGAGGAGGGCTTGTCCACGACAAGAAGCTGAAGCTCCAGGAGAAGAAGCTGGGATCAAGGAGCAGCAGCTTGGACACGGAGGACAGCGGGATTGGAGAGGACGGAGGGCTCAGTGACAACAATGAACCAAAGACTGAACAAAGTGGCAGCGAGTCCAAAACAACGAGCATCAGGCCCAAGGTAGAGTGGTTAGTCACTGAATCATACACCAGCACCGCAATTAGTCATGAAAAACACGCAACAGTTCGTATTTTAAATTATTTCACCACTCTAAATCTGTTGCTATAAAGATACTTTTTTCAATCAACAGATAATTCCCATGTTTTAACCGTGCAGTTTGTAAAGATTGAAGATGTCACTTCCACTGAAAACGTTCATCCTAAAGTTTCAGCTTAGTTTATGGCAGGGCCTTGGTCCGACATGACCAATGCTTTTCAGCAAGTTATGACGACTGAAGCTGTGCAACAAACACTAAAAGTTCAAGAACCTTTATTGTCGTTTGCATCACATGTGGTAGACGAGGTGGAATGAAATTATGTACTCTGGTCCCAGTTACACCCAAAAACAGCAAAATATAAAGTATTAAAAAGAAACGAGGATCTAAGATAACGCTAAACACTAATGTAAAATAAAGACCTAAAACACCACCTTTAGATCAATTAAATCATGCAAATAAACTCTTGACCTTAAGGTGAAGTCACCCGAAGGAAACCAACTCCTTCATGGACAGCAGACAGATCACAGCTGCATAACTAGATATCTGCCATGAAAGGCAGAGAAACATGCCGGGCCCTCGTGACATGTCTCAGAGAACGTCCCGCTCATAAAAACACACATGGACCCGCTGTGTAATGGAATACGTGTCAACCAATACGGTCCATCTGCAACGTGTTCTCCAGGCTGACCTTCAGGTGGAACAGCCAGCGAGACTGAAACGGGGTCAAGAGGCACCGAAACCAAACATGAGAAACAGGAAATATGAGAAAGTCACCTTTCTTAAATTACTTTATTGATATGAATTCAAAGGTTAAATGGTTGCCATGGAAATGAACAAAAACATGAAAATAATAATAAAAATTGAGCGATACTTGGAGTTCCCAAGAACTTTGTGTTGTTGGGTGTGAGCCAAATAACATTTTGAAATCTTTTGTTTTGTAAAATCAAATCCAGGCTGTGGTGCGGAACGTTGTCAACGACAGCTTTAAGACTTAATCATGGATTTAAAGAAAAGTAACATCAGTTAAAATAAATATACAGTGTTTTACAGCCGGGGTAATGACTGATAGTTTGTGAACAAGATGCTTCAGAAACTCAACAACAACTGAAATAAATCCCAACGTCAGCTAAATGTGCTCATATTTACAATTTATTATCATTTAACATTTGCATATTATCAAAGAACAGACAGACGTTATAAACTTTAGCGATGATGGTAAAGATGACGCATCTGTTTTGGCATATTTAAAAAAGAGGGATTTCACAGACAAAATGAAGATTGTCCTGTGGGACTAACAAACATTTTAATTCAGTTAACAGGTTTTAAATGGTTCATACAAATGTGAGGGACCAAGAAGCGCTGAGATCCAAGCAGCATGAAAAACTCAGGCTTAGTCACATTATCACTTAAAACACGAGTGGAAAAGCCTCGGCAAGCGGCACGTCTTGACTTTCACAGAGCAAATGCCAAAGACGTCTGATGATGTGAGGCCTGGCACGCTGATGGAAACTGATACAGCAGGAAGAGACGAGGGACAGCACATGGAAGACCTTCAGGTGATCAGAAAGTGCACATTTCTATTGAATACACGAGTTACTTCTCATTCAGGCACTTACACTCCACATTAAAGAACAACTTACAGCTGGCTGGTGAGCATTCTGTGCAGAATAAAGAGTTTTACTTTAAAGTGTTGATCATAAACAGCAGCACTGGCACAACTACTTCATGAAATCTATTTGAAGTTTTATTATCATTCGCGTCACATGTGGTGGAGGGTCCCAGTTACATCCAGCAACAGCGAAAATATAAAGTGTAAAAAACAGTAACAAGGATCTAAGATATAAACTAAGAAATATGCTAAACACTTAATAATATAAAACAATACAACAACAACAGAGCATGAAATAATCAGCAGCATGGATTTAAAAATATACTTTTGAGGTGGTTTATTAAAATAAGATGTTTAAATCATTCTTCAGACGCCTGAGTGTGCAGCACAAGGACCAAGCTGAAGATCTGTTTTAACAAGTGGCCAGAAGTTCATTTAAAGACTGAGGGTCACTAATCTTGAATGAGTCAAATTAATAATATTAAGTTAACATTAAAATTTAATTTACATGATTATCTTGAACGGATGGGTTGAATGAACCTGAACATATTTGCAGCTAGAGGCAGAGTGCAGCGAAACGCTTTAAATGACCGAAAACAACTCTGACTAAATAAAATGTCTTGTGCAACATTTGACCTGGGTGTATGCAGGAGTGATGTTAGATGCAGTGAACTCATCAGTGCATGGGAACGTGACAACATACAGCACTTACTAAAATGTTTGTAGCTAGCTGATTAGCTTCTGACTAAATGAGGTACAAACTGTCCAGATGACCTGATATAACCTTTTCTTGTATTTATCTACCTGGAGGATTGAGCTACAAACCTTCTGACTATCCATCCATCCATCCATCCATTATCTTTACCCGCTTATTCCATTTTGGGTCACGGGGGTCGCCGGTGCCCATGTCCAGCAATCACTGTGCGAGGGGCGGGGGACAACCTGGACGGGTTGCATGTCCATCACAGGGACACATAGAGACAAACGAGACCCCTCAGGGGTTGCCAGTGAACTAACTCACACAGACATTTTTTTACACCAGACTCCCTCCCTGACACAACCACAGACCACCGAGCTACCACATCTGTCTGTGTGGACCACAGCTCCCCGGGGGGGTGGGGGGGGGGGGGGCAAATGAGGGTGGAGGCAGGAGTGGGTGCTTCACTTTACCCGCACACATTTTGATGTTGTTGGTCCAGGGGATTGAACTGGTGACCTTCCGATCACAGGCTCACCTTCTCTAACCTCTGCACCACCACTCCCTCTGAACCATGTGTCACTGTTTTAATTTGTCCGGATTATTATTTGATACTAACGCTATTTTGTATCTGCAGATTAAAATAGCCACCATGAGCGACATCAAGAGCCGCTGGCAGCGCTGGTCTGAGCAGCACACTGAGGGACAGAAGCTCAACCCCTTCAGTGAGGACTTTGACTACGAGTACGCCATGTCCCAGCGTCTCCACAAAGGTGACTCGGGCTACGGTCGACCCAAAGACGGCTCCAAGACAGCCGAGAGGGGAGACAGGGCCCAGAAACACATTCACAGGGAAATGGAGGAGATGGTTTGGATTATCAGAGACATGGGCATGAAAAGTCAGGAGGGACACGTCTTTATTAGCTTCGGCCGGCTCTTCGATCGCTACGTCAAGATTTCAGACAAAGTGGTGGGCATCCTGCTGCGCTGCCGCAAACACAAGATGGTGGACTTTGAGGGGGAAATGCTGTGGAAAGGACAAGACGATGACGTTATTATTACTGTGAGGGAGTGAGAAGAGACGGAAACTCCAAGTCTGCAGAGAAACCTGTCACCTGTCACGACAAGTCAAACATGAAAATGCATCATGTTGTTCAAACACTGCTGGTAAAATGAAACACAGGCTGGCTTCTTCAAGAAACTGCAAGAAAGAACTGTTTACATTTAAATATGATGACCTTTGCACCACTGACATTTATTGTGCATGTGCACACAAGCACCCACTGCACCAGCGACCTCGTTACTTCTGCTCGTATACCGGAGACATCATACGATGAGAGGTAGCTATATTTAGCATGCTACCCATGCTAACTATGCTGCAAGCTACAGGCCTGCAAAATTCAGTAAAATGCCAACGACGCCGCTCGGAGCCGATCTGCTGCAGCTGAAGCAACAACACGCTGAAGCTGATTTCATTTCATTCATTCATTCATGAAGCCACGAACTCCTTTCACCAAAACCATGTGGCTGCAGTCTCTCTTATGTTCTGCTTAAATATTTTAAATAAATGGAACACAAACTTATAGAAAACCAAAATGCAAAGTACAAAAGTGTTATTTGTCTACTGTTTCAACATTTAACTGCAGATGTGACTGAGCCAGAGCTGAAGTGAGCAACTCAAACAGAAACGATCTGATGCTGAAGCAGCATGCAGATGTTTTATTAAAGTACGTGTGTCTATAAAAGCAGGAAGTCCTGCAACAAGTCTTTAATGACTGACATTCTACTGACTCGTTATGTTACAGTTAAAAATCCAAAAATGTTTTGGATGATTGCATATTGTGATTTAGTTTTTAAATTGATAGTTGTAGAATAAAAAATGTCATGTTCTTTTACGGCAGCACGGTGGTGCAACTGGTAGAGCTGCTGCCTCTCAGCGAGCAGGTCCCTGGTTCAAATCCCGGTCCAGGGGCCTTTCTGGGTGGAGTTTGCATGTTCTCTCCGTGCATGCGTGGGTTTTCTCCGGGTACTCCGGTTTCCTCCCACAGACCAAAAACATGCATGTTAGGCTGATTGGTAACTCTAAATTGTCCCTAGGTGTGAGTGAGAGAGTGAATGGTTGTTTGTCTCGTTTGTCTCTATGTGGCCCTGTGATGGACTGGAGACCTGTCCAGGGTGTCCCCCGCCCCTCGCACAGTGATTGCTGGACATGGGCACCAGCGACCCCCGTGACCCAAAATGGAATAAGCGGGTAAAGAAAATGGATGGATGGATGGATGGATGTTCTTTTACATTGAAAAAACAGCAGAAGTTCTTTAAATATTTTATTTATTTATTTATTCAAAGTGAACATATGTACGCACCCTGCAGATGTTGGATGCTGTCTATCATGGTGCACTAAGATTCATAACTGGCTGTAACTACCGTACCCACCACTGCACCCAGTATTCACTGGTTAACTGGTCACCATTAACTTCACACAGACTCTCTTACTGGTACATCTCCATCTTTAAATCTCTTCTTGGTCTGCTGCCTTCATACATCTCCTCCTACATGTCTCTGTGTGAGTGCAGCTACAGCGTGCGCTCTCAGGACATCATTACCTGCAGTGTTCCCTCAGTGAGGACTGAACTAGACAAAAGGACCTTCTCCTACTCTGCCCTGGGGCGGCTGTGGCTGAGTGGTTATAGCAGCCATTCTCCAACGCAACAGTTGGGGATTCAATTCCACCAGCAGTCACATGCCGAAGTGTCCTTGGGCAAGACACTGAACCCTCATTTCCTCCGATGTGTGTCCATCAGTGTATCAAAGTGATAAAAAGCTCTGATTAGTCTCTTTAGAATGATTTGTTCAATTATCTTTGTATAGATCTAGTAGAGTGATGTATGAATGGGTCAATGAGGCACAGATTGTTGTAAAGAGCTTTGAGTATCTTGATAAGATAGAAAGGAGCTGTATAGGTACAGTCCATTTACCAGTGATTGGTCCTAAAACAGAACGGCACTTTGAGTTTGATCGGGTCAAATAGCTCATAAAACCTTGAGGCGAGTGAGGAACAGTTTGTATATTAAATGATATTTGATGATATTAGATGATGGATGATATTTGATGATCAATGATATTAGATGGTCCTGGTCCGCATTGCCGGCAGTAAGTCGGGTTTGTTCCCGGTGAGAGTTGGACTCCGCCAAGGTTGCCCTGTGTCACCGATTCTGTTCATAACTTTATGGACAGAATTTCTAGGCACAGCCAAGGTGTTGAGTGGATCCGTTTTGGTGGCCTTGGGATTGCGTCTCTGCTTTTTGCAGATGATGTGATCCTGTTGGCTTCATCAGATCGTGATCTACAGCTTTCACTGGAGCGGTTCGCAACCGAGTGTGACACGGACGGGATGAGGATCAGTTTCTCCAAATCCGAGGCCATGGTCTTGAGCCGGAAAAGGGTAGAGTGCCCTCTCCGGGTCAGGGAGGAGGTCTTGCCCCAAGTGGAGGCGTTCAAGTATCTCTGGGTCTTGTTCACGAATGAGGGAAAAATGGAGCGTGAGATCGATAGGCGGATAGGTGCAGCATTGGCAGTGAAGCGGGCGCTGTACAGGTCTGTCATGGTGAAGAGAGAGCTGAGTCAAAGGCGAAGCTCTCAATTTACCGATCGATCTACGTTCCTACCGCCGCGACCCGACCCCGGATAAGAGGAAGAAAATGGATGGATGATATTAGATGATATTTGATGGTATTATATATTAGATATTAAATGATATTAGATTATATTAGAATTAGATGATTGATGATATTTGATGACATTTGATGATTGATGATATTAGATGATCAATTATCTATTCATCACACTGAACACTGGGACGCCATGTCATCCAGACCAGAGAGGACAAGGATAGCCGGAGTTGTTATCAACGCTCCGTTAGAAGCCTGCATCACTGATGGTATGGGGTTGCATGAGCGCTTGTGGCATGGGCAGCTTGCATGTCTGGAAAGGCACCATTAATGCAGAGAACTATGTTCAGGTTCTAGAACAACATATGCTCCCATCTAGACGTCATCTCTTTCAGGGAAGACCCTGCATTTTTCAACACGATAATGCCAGACCACATTCTGCAGCAATCACAACATCATGGCTACGTAGGAGAAGGATCCGGGTACTGAAATGGCCAGCCTGCAGTCCAGATCTTTCACCTATAGAGAACATTTGGTGCATCATAAAGAGGAAGGTGCCACAAAGAAGGCCCAAGACGATTGAACAGTTAGAGGCCTGTATTAGACATGAATGGGAGAGCGTTCCTATTTCTAAACTGGAGAAACTGGTCTCCTCTGTCCCCAGACGTCTGTTGAGTGTTGGAAGAAGAAGGGGGGATGCCACACAGTGGTAAAAATGGACTTGTCACAACTTTTTTGGGATTTGTTGACGCCATGAAATTTGGAAACAACAGATTTTTCTCTTAAAATGAAACATTCTCTCAGTTTAAACTTTTGATCTGTGATTTGTGTTCTATTCTGAATAAAAGATTAGATGTTGGCACCTCCACATCATTGCATTCAGTTTTTATTCACAATTTGTTTAGTGTCCCAACTTTTTTGGAATCCGGTTTGTAGATGATATTAGATGATATTAGAATTAGATGGTATTTGATGGTATTCAATGAGGGGAACACGGTCAGACATGGGCACCGGCGACCCCCGTGACCCAAAATGGAAGAAGCAGGTAAAAGATAATGCATGGATGGATGGAACACGGTCAGAAGGAATGCTCCAGAGAAACTTGATGAGAAAACTGTTGTGTCTGGATGTATGGAGGGTGGAGGAAATGTACTTTAGGGATCCTCCCTGTTTTCTACCGGCCGCTGTTTTGTGTCCCTCTCGTTTTCATCAGAATAAAATGTGACAGAATGTGTGAAGAAATGGACACACGGTCACTGGAAACAGAAAGGGTGCAAGTTATTTTCTGTTGTTTAAAGTTAGACTTATGTGTGTTCAATAAAATTGAATGGAAATTCACTTTTAGGTAAAAAAACCAACAACTGTCCAGATGATCTGACTGAGCATTATTGGATTTGGTACCTGGATGATTGAGCATAAACTTTGGTCACTATTAAGTTGATTTTCTGCACAAACTAACTTCAAATGAACTTGTTTTTCCAGTAAAAAGGTTGTAAGCTCTATCACACACGTAGAAAACAACAAAAAAGGTTGAATCCTGTCATCTGGACAGTTTCTTTGAGGGAGAAACGTTTCGTCTTCTGGAAGACGTCATCAGTCTGCAGCCTGCCAACCAGATCTGTCCCATACGAAGCCTTCGCTGCTGTAAAGGTTGAATGAATGAAAATAATATAAACACACATATGTGTTGGGTTATTGTGCACAAATTGTAAAGGTGAGCGGATATTTGATTTTATTTCTATCTATTTCTGAGAAGAGGCTGCAGGAACAGTTTGTTTTTATTGTTCTGCTGAAGTGATGGTTCTGTTTCATTGTTCTTTAGTATAAAACATAAAAACTCAACCCAAAGGTGCAATCTAGTGTCTTTAGACTTTGTTTCTATAAGCCAGATTATTAAAATAAATCCAATACAAGTGGAAATGATGCCAAGAATGCCATAATTTGATGCTTTTTATTGAGACATTTCATTGTCTTTAATGAAGTTTTTTGATTTTTGATCATTTCTGTTGAGAAACACCACAGGATGGACCTTCTTTGTTTCCAGTTTCCTCAGTCCATCCGTACCACCAAAGCTTTTAGTTTGATTTTAAATTGTTGTCAAATCAATGTGGGTTTGGTGTTTGCTGCTTGTCCCCTGTCTTCCTGTCTTCAACACACCTGTCCTAATCACACCAGGTGTTCCTCATTGTCAATCACAGGTGATCCTATTTATTCAGTGTCTTGTCCTTCCCCCAGGGGTCATCCTTTATTTTCCTGGATGATCTTATCCAAAACCTTTTTTTGTGTGTTTTTATTGTCTATTTTGATGTCTGTTAAACGATGAAATCCTAAAGTTTCACCTTAAAAACCTCCATTGTTGTGTCCAGTCTAGTGTAACGTTAAAGAATACTGCATGAAATGTGTAAGGACAAGTGGCGCTGACAGTTTTGTCCTTTTCACTGTGGATGTAAGAACGATTCGTGTAAAAGAAGCAGCTTAGTTGTTCAGAAATCCAAAAAGAAGCAAAGACATGAAGATCAAGACTCCTGTATTGTTGCTTCACTGGAAAATATTTGTTTTACTCTGTTCGATTTAAAAGCACAATGAGCCATAATGAACATCTAAAAAAAACTACATTTTTCTGATTTAAAGTTGTTACAAGGAACAAGTCCATGTTCAAGATCCACACTGCGACAAAACACCATCATTTTAGGTTCAACCCAAAAAGTGTGAGTCAAAAACTTCAAACTGAGGAATTCATCAGGAGCGCACACAGAATCAATCTCTTACATGATTTCAGTGATGGGTTCAAATGGTGACGATCTAAAACTTTATTTTTTTGCATTGTTCTCATAAAGTAACGAGACAATTCATTGTCCTTAGCCCTGACAAAATGTACGTTTTAAGGCCTCTACTTACATTACAATTGATAGAAATACACTTTTAGACATTCAAGTGACGGACACGACCAAAGAAAGACATAAAATCCCAGAACACACAATGTTTGGTGCTGAGTAGTTAACTATAACA